TGGGCTTTAGGTAGTGGGCTACATATAAATTTGTAGACTTTAAATAATTTATGGAATTTAAGTCCAACACATTTTACCTTTTGAAAGTTTATTTAATTTGAGCCTATGGAATTTAAGTCCATTTGAATTTAACAAGCCTAATTAATTGCATTTGGGCTTGCATTATTTAGGTTATGGAATTTAGGTCCAGTTTAATTTAATTTGACAAGTCTTATTAATTAAATTTAGGCTTGTATTATTTAGGCTATGAAATTTAGGTCCAGTTTAATTTAATTTGACAAGCCTTATTAATTAAATTTGGGCTTTTATTATTTAGGTTATGGAATTTAGGTCCAATCCAATTTTATTTATATAATTGATTTGAGTTCAATTATAGACTTTTATTTACTAATTTTTTTAATGTCTACAAATGCCCCCTTGAGACTTATTTGCATATTTAATATTTTATTAATATGTAAATGGGTCTCGATTTATATTTTGATTTAAAAGGAGTTTGATTTAATTTAATTTTGCATATATATATATATATATATATATATATATATATATATATTAATTGGAATTATAGTCCATATTGAACTTTAGAATCCTAAACCGTATGGACTTCACAATCCTATTTTATTTGAACATATTGGTCATAAAGACTTTCAACTTATCTATGATTAATGTAAAAATCTCTTTTATTCAAATACAGAGTCCTAAAATATAGACTTTTAATCCATCTATGATTAGGATAACAAATTTCTTATTTTAACTTAAATATATAGAACTAGAATGTCTATATACTGAGATTATATGTACTCGAAATTTTATGATCAACCGGCTAGTCAACAAATTTGGACCTTGAATCAAGTTTGTAAGGTATGACTCTTTCATTATTTAATTATATATGTATTGCTTTTGATTGTTATGGTGTTTAATTTTGTCAGCATAATGATTTCTTAGATATGTAACTTTGTTGATTTCAAACTTACTAATATTTTAGTATTATCATTATTAGATTAAATGTTCTTCTTGATTTGAAAAAAAACATGTTAATCGATTTTTTATTGCCTTCATGGTTAGTATCGATCATCACAATTTTCATTCTTTCTTTTAATATCTTTTGTCTTATTCTTAACAATAAGTTTAAGTGTATGTAATTTGTCACTTTTTTGCATGAGGTATACACAAGATTTTTTATATCGTAATGATCCTATTATTTTAGGTTTAATGCCCAATTATTTTAGTAATACATATCATTGTATATTATTTGGTTCTTAAGTCTTACTAATAAGAATCGAAGTGCTAGTCTTTATCAATTTAATTTGGTTAGAATCAAAACAACAATTTTTAGTGGGTCATATTGATATGAATATAAAACTAGAGTATCTTTTTGTTATTGTATTCAAAAATTCATGTATATTCAAAAATTTATGAAAAGAACTTTATTTAATTTGGATCCTTTTTTTTAATTATATATATATAGCATATTATTATTCTTAACCATGAACAACATAGAATTCTAATTTTTATGGGGTCAAGATATATAATAATTCTTTTGTTCTATTTAAACACATAAACCTAAAATAAAGATATATCTTGTAATCTAAATAAACTTTTAATGTTTAGTTGGTGAAAAATATTTTTAAACACAATTATAACCTATAAAATCTATATTTATTTGATCATATTGATATTTTAATTTATAACCAACCTTACGCAGTCAACTTGATTAAGACTTGAGTCAAATCTATTAGGTATGTCTGCCTTTGTTAGTTTGTTTTAGCATTACTATTAATAATGTATTGTTCTTAATGAAAATTAAATTTTCTCTTTCTTAGTTGATTGACCCAATTGATTAAGTTATATAGTTCTACCAAAATTTTGATGATTAGCAGGTCATTCCTATTTTGTTTTGTGCAAAATATTCATCTTTTTATTGTTTATTGTGTAGTATTTTTAGAACTTGTGGTATTTTTCCATGGTAGATTTTTTTTTAGATCGTTTATACCCTTCTTTTTTTATTTATTTGATTATAATTGTTGCTTTGTATCATTGACTTAGAAATGACACTTGATATACAGCTCTCTCAGTTGGAAATCTATGGAGACTCACAGCTAGTGGTTCATCAGGTTTTGGAATTGTATGATGTTCGCAAACCAGATTTGATTCCATACGGTCGCTATGCAACTTAACTTATAAGTCAGTTTGATTGAGTCACCATTGAGAACGTACCATGCGGTGAAAACAGATACGCTGATGCTCTTGCCAATCTTGCCGTCGTGCTTACAAAATCCTATTACCAAATAATTTCAATTCCAGTTTGTCAAAGATGGGTAATACCTCTGTTACTCCCCGAAATGGAGGAAGTTACTACCATTTTAGTAGTGCAAGTTGAAAATGAAGATTGGAAGCAACCTCTGATTAATTATTTGCAGTATGGAAGATTACCAAATGATCCACGTCATAGAACCAAGATACGACGGAGAGCTCCTTGATTTATTTATTATAAAGGCATCTTCTATCGTCGTTCATTTGATGGTATTTTCCTGCGATGTTTGGACGAAGATGAAGCTGCTCAAGCACTCGAGGAAGCTCATTCTAGAATCTGTGGTTCTCATCAATTAGGACCTAAATTACAATTTCGCATAAAGAGAATGAGGTATTATTGGCCCACTATGGTGCAAGACTCGATGAGTTATGCTAAGAAATGTTAATCTTATCAGTTCCATGCCAACTTCATTCACCAGCCACCTGAACTATTGCATCCTACAGTCGCATCATGGCCTTTTGATGCATGGGGACTTGATGTCATAGGACCTTTGACTCCAAAATTGTCAGCAGGACATCTTTACATCTTAGCAGCAATCGATTATTTCTCCAAGTGGGCGGAAGCGGTTCCTGTTAAAGAAGTGAAAAAAGAGAATGTTGTCGACTTTATTCGAACAAATATTATATATCGGTATAGTGTACCTCGTTACATTATCATTGATAATAGAAAACCATTTGTCAATAGCCTCATGGCTAAACTCTGCATCAAATTTAGATTTGTACAACATAATTCATCCATGTATAATGCACCAGCCAATGGATTTGCAGAAGCCTTCAATAAAACCTTGTGCAACTTGTTAAATAAAGTTGTCTCCAAATCAAAGAAGGATTGGCATAAAAGGGTTGGTGAAGCTCTCTGGGCATATCGAACAATATATCGAACTCTAACAGAAGTTACTCCATATTCCCTTGTGTATAGCGTTGAAGTTGTTCTTCATTTGGAACGTCATATTCCCTCCCTGCGGATCGTCTTACAAGAAGAACTCACAAATGAAAAAAATGTTCATTTATGTCTAGATGAGCTTGAAGCACTGGACAAGAAGAGACTAGATACACAACAGAACTTGAAATGTTATCAAGCCAGAATTTCCAAAGCCTTTAATATGAGGGTTTGTGTCCGATCATTCCAAATAGGAGATTTGGTCCTTGCAATTCGAAGACTCATTGTTATTCCGCATCGCACCGGTGAAAAATTCATGTCAAAATGGGATAGTCCATATGTGGTAAAAGAAGTCTACACCAACGAAGCGTATAAGATTGTTGACAAAGATGGCTTGAGAGTTGGCCCAGTCAATGAAAATTTTTTAAAGCACTTCTATGCCTGAAAACAAGCAACGCTCCTTTACGCACAAGCCTAAACTGCATGTTGCTCCTAACCCACATGAGCTAAAATTGTGAACGGCTTGACCAAAAATAAAAGTTCATGCGCTCCTTTACGCACGAGTCTAAACTGCATGTTACTCTTGGCCTGCAAGAGTTAAAACTGTGTACGACTTAAAAAAAATATTTACTTAGCTTAACCAAAAAAAATTTTTTACTCCTGGCTCGCATGAGTTAAAATTGTGTACGGCTCAACTAAAAACAAAAGCTTTTTGCTCCTAGCCCACATGAGCTAAAACTATGTACGGCTCAAAAAAAAAAATTCTTTCAAAATTATGTTTAAACTTAAAACATTTTTTTGAGATATCTAAGTTATTTGAGAATCAATATTTTTTTAGTACAATAAAAAAAATCAAATCTAAACATATATATATATATATATATATATATATATATATATATATATATATATATATATATATATATATAAAGAATTACAATTGAAAAATTATGAAATCATAAAAAAATTTCAACCTAGTCGATTGAGGCTAGCGAAGCAAATTCCGTCTCTAACATGGGTCGCATATTGTCTATATCTTGTATCTCCTCAACACTACGAATATGAGACTCTTGGAGTTCGACACGTTCTTTCTCCATCACCACTATAGTCTCATCAGTGTTTTGTTGTTCATCATGAATGAAGTCAATGCTAGATGCTATCTCGGCCCTCCGATCTTGCAGTCACCGGATTTCATCATCAAGACTCTTACTTTGCTTCAAATTTCAATAGTTGTTCACTCAAGCCAAGAACTTTGAATTGTCCTCCTGATATCGTGCTATCAATTGTCACCAACCTTCTATCTCTTTCTCTAGAGGTTAAAACTTTGACGCTTTCTTGGCGTTTTGAAAGGTACGCATTTACTTTCATAAGAAGACAATTCATTTTTCTCACCAAAGGATTTGTGTCAACATAAAAAAACTTTTTAAGAGTATCTTTAATACTTGAAGACTTGGAGGTCCATCAGATCTTCAATCCAGAGAATCCATTTTTCATGGCATAATCAAATTCACCCTTCAAATATGGGGGTATTCCGATCAGAATTATTTTCTTTGCCAATTTTCAGAAGTCCTTGCTTCAACAGGGGGACCTGACACAAATAAAGATATGCGATTAGTTGCATACTAATCGAAAGGGCAACTAGATCAAGCTAATAAGATATACCTAAGACAGATGAAAACATCGACATTAGTCTTGGAGATCGCGTTTCACCAGGTTCATAAGGCTCAGGAAGAGTATTCATAACATAATTATTACTAATTTCTTGCCTTGCTTGTATAGCACATGTAGGATTTGTTTTAGAATTAACTTCCCCTTCACATGGATTGACATTTTCTCCATCAACCAAAGAAAGAATTTCACCACTGTTAAAAATAATGGATATGCTTCGATCGTTGTCATCAAATAAAGCTCCAATGATATCATTGTCAAGATTTTGGTCTCCACAAATACCTGGGATGGAATTTAATGTAGCAAGATCTGAAAGTGGAGGAAAAGCTTAAAAAAAAAAAAAAGAAAGGGTAAGAGGTTTGAAAATATAAAAAATAATGATAATAGTAATGAAATTTTGCAATTACCTTTATTTCGGGATCGCGGTGATAATTCTAAAAATGATGATAAGTCATTCAGAGCATCACAAGATGGGTTAACCCTGCTTGTGGGAGACTTTGTAGTCGTATGATTTGCACCGTCTTCTGACCGGGCACAAGCTAAATTATGCTCAGCTTCTGTAGCTCTTGTTTGACACCTCTCTTGAATTGTCTGCTTAGTAGAACCAAGACTATCAACTGGTACAATTGTGCTTGGAATACTTCCACAATTTGAGCCTATATCTTGTTTCTTGAAAATACCCTTAGATATGCAAGATGAAAGGAGTGCATGATCAGATTCGTTTGACGAACTCACTTCAGCAGACTCTGGGATGTCTAAAGGATGAACAGATCAAACATTAGCTGATCTTGAAACATGTGTTGTGACCTTTAACATCTTTGGAATCGATTTTTCTTGGGAATTCAAACAATCCTTTGAAGTGTCCCATTTTCAAAGACGTGAAGAAGCTTTAGCCACTGTAGGAAGGGATTTCCCCTTCCCTAACCCATTAGCTTGAGCTTTGAATTTGAAATTCTCAGATTCATTGGCTAACAAGGTTTTACAATTGATGTCATCTAGGTGTGAGAGTATATCATCTTTCCACCAGTTGTTATAACTACTATCACATCGATTCTCAATGCTAGCGCAATTATTAAGGACATGGAATCTTGCCTCACTGTTTATCCTAACTAAACTCAACCACGCCCGATATAAAAAATAGGCATCAAACGAAATTATTGATGGATGTGAGGGAGTACCTAAAAATCTTTGATGAAATCCATGCTACCTAGCAAAGCAATGTGAGGTATACATCTCAAGAATGCAAATGGGCCCACAACGATACATGACGTATCCATCTCGCATACTTGTCATTAATTTAGAGGTTTCATCTGATCTTTGTCCATCATCTCGACGAGGCCCTCAGTTTCCAGAATAGGGAACAGGTTGCCAGCAAAAATCACTGGAACTCATACTTCCACGTAGAAGATCTCGAAATCCTTTTACTTCTTCCTCATAAAAAAGATAGGCATTCAGTGTACCTCTTAATCGTCGAAGCAAAGGACGATCAAACTCCTCATCAACCTTATCATAAAATCCCCGAGGGAAATGCAACGCTGCCCAAGCATAAAAATAATGACCTGAAAAAGCATAAGAAGTCATTCCGAGGTTCTTTTGATCATATTGGGTACTGCGTGTCTCAGATAGACCTTTGTAAATTCTTGCAACAATAGGGGGAACCAAGCTATATGTGACTCCAGCAGCCATTCGGGAGGCAGTCTTGAAGATAGTTGGACGAATAACATCATCTGATGAAGGAAATACAAAGTGAAATAGCCATAAAGCTAAAAATCTGTAATCTCCAAGTCCTTACGTGTTGTGACATCAAGGTCAAGATCTAGAAGAATGAAGGGATCATCACCATTGACCTTTGTCTTCATAGGTTGTATTTCTGCCTAAATAAGACTCACCAATCATCGCTTTGCAAAAAATTCTTCGTCCCTTTTAAAGCAATTTGCCATGACTGCTTTATATGCCTTGCTCTTCTTGGGATCCAAAGCACGTGCACCGTCCTTGAACCAAAAATCAAGCCAATCTGAATGACAGGGACGATTATCCCCTTTCTTCTTATTAATTAAGACAAAGGCCTTAAACAAATGTTGGCAAGTCATAGGAAGAACACTAGTATCAAAGTCTCTCAACTCAGTCAAGCTTGGGATAACTTCTTCAAAATATTCACCAAGGATTGAAAGACCAGTGACATGTTGTATTTCCCAAAGTGAGATTCCAATTACTCTTGCTCCCATAACAAATGTATTCGTCTGTGGACACCAAACTTCACAAAGGGCGCAATATACACTGTTGGGTTAAGAGTAATCAAAAGAAGCTGCATGCACAACATAAACAAATTCATCAAAACCCTTATCTACCAAGTTGCGGTAAATTCATTGAGAACACTCCCAAAACCCATTCAGATATTGAATATCTCCCTTTGGGTTCAATGAATATCCCCACCTCACAGTCCTCTGGTTGATTAGATCAACAACAAGTGGCTATAGGATAAGATGATCTTTGGAATGATACGAAGGCGTGCAAAGTGAGGGTAGTCGTTCTGACTTAACCTTGTCACTTTTGTGCATGTTCTCTGATAGAGGATATTCACTAATTATCGGCATATGAAGTTTAGGTTCATAGATTATTCCCGAGTAGCTGCAGGGACCAGTCATGGGCTCAAGCACTTTGAGCAATAATGTTAACAGCTCGTTAGTTCTGTAGTTCTTTACCACAACAGTTGGAAAACACAAAACTTTGTCTTTCAGAATTGGATCTTCTGACTCAGCAATCCACTCATCAGAAGGTAAGTTCTTTCTTTGACTTGAAATTTTGATAATTTTTCCCGATTTGGCTTTTTGAGATGAGGCCATCTGAAAAATAATAAAAATAATAATAAGAAAAAAAAAAGAGGGCAAATAATAATTTGAAATATATATATTAATAAAATAAACCTTGATGCTATAAATAAAGTGGGAATAAAATAATAATAATAATAGTGGCAATACAAGAAAACTAGCAATACAAGAGTAGATAAGTCACCTAGGGTTGTTACAGAAGTCACCTTGAGCTGTTACAGAAGTCACCTAGTGCTGTTACAGAAGTCACTTAGGACTGTTACAAAAGTCACCTTGAGCTGTTACATAAGTCACCTAAAACTGTTACAGAAGTCACTTTGAACTGTTATAGAAGTCACTAAAGAGCTGTTACAGAAGTCACCTAAGACTGTTACAGAAGTCACCTTGAACTATTACAGAAATCACCAAAGGGCTATTACAGAAGTCACCAAAGGACTGTTGTAGAAGCCATCTTAGGATTGTTACAAAAGTCACATTGGGTCGTTACAAAAGTTACTTAGGAATGCTACAGAAGTTACCTAAGACTACCACATAAGTCATTTAAGTTGACATAAAAATCACTTAAGGTGGTCAATAATAATAATAATAAATAAAATAAAAATCTTGTAATCAAAGTCACCTATAATTAACACAAAAGTTATAAAGTGTCATTTAAAATAAATTTCTTGAGAAATGCCAATTAAAATTAAAATTAATACTCATGGAATAAATTAACCCAAAAAAAAAATTCCCCACAAAACAAGATTTATTTATTTCTTAAAAAAAAAGGTCAAGTTTGTTAAAAAAAAATCACCTAAAATCAAGTCAATAAGATAAAATTCTAAAGTCAAAAGGTTACCTAGCATAATTTTTTGGGATGAAAATATTCAAGACTAACATTTTTGAAGAAAAAAAATTATTATACCAACAAGTTATCAAGAAATCATAAAAACACACACAAGTTGTGGTCTATTCCAAAAAAAAAAAATTAGGAAACAAGTCATGATCAAGAATAAGATAATTAAATATAATATATATATATACACGTACACACATGTATAAGCGCACACACACAAATCAAATCTTTTTATTAAATTGAATTGAGTTGAACTATGTGAAAAAACTGCCAAGATATATATAAAAAAAAGTAATGACAAATTCTACAAATGGTCATTAGGGAACAATGTGGTTTTCAAAGCTTGGTACTCTGCCATGTTATTGGAGCAAGACTCTATCAAGGTAATTGCATAAAACAATACTTCATTTGCAGGGGTAATGAAGATCACACCTGCACCAGCTCTATACCTTCGAGCAGCACCATCAAAGTATAACTTCCAAGACGGTATGAAGTCAGTGAAGAAAAATTCTTCATCTGGCAATTCTTCTGGTAGCTCCGAGTCTGCAAGGATCGGGTGATTTGCAAGAAAATCAACTAATGCTTGTCCTTTGACTGTTTTTTGCGGAACATAAACTATGTCATATTCAGATAATAGAAGTGCCCATTTTGCCAACCTTCCCGAGAGAACTGGTCTTGACATAATGTACTTGACAGATCAGATTTTGAAATGAAATGAACAACATAAGCCAGCATATAATGCCTCAACTTCTTTGTAGCAAAGACTAATCCAAGACACATTTTTTCAATAGGTGAGTAGTTAGTTCTGCATCTACTAATGTCCGACTCAGATAGTATAATGTGTTTTCATTTTCCTTGTCATTAACTTGTGCTAATAGTGCTCCTAATGACTGTTCTTGGGCAGCAATATAAAGAATCAATGGTTTTCCTTGAATTGGTGTTGCGAGGACCGGGAGATGAATAAGATATTATTTGATATTTTCAAAAGCATTCTGACAAGCATCGTCCCATTCAAAAGGAACACTCTTCTTCATTATTGTATTGAACGGATGACAATGTCCGGCAAGGTTCGAGATAAATCTTTGTATATAGGCAAGCCTTCCTTGAAGACTTTTGAAGTCATGCAGACTGCGAGGCTCTGACATCTTTAGAATAGCCTCTATTTTTGTTTGATCAATCTCGATGCCTGACAATAAATCTGAGGAACATAACAGAGGTAACCCCAAAGGTACACTTTAAGGGGTTCATTTTTAGTTGATATCTCCAAAGCCATTCAAAATGTTGCGCAAATCATCAAGATGATCTTCACGTCTTCTTGTCTTTACGAGTAGGTCAGCAACATAACATTTAACCTTTTTGTGTAGTGCAACATCAAAAATCTATTGTATTGCACATTGATATGTGACACCAGCATTCTTGAGTCCGAAGGGCTTCACTATATAGCAATAAACTCCCTGGGGGGGTTCAAAATGCAGTGAGTTTTTCGTCTTTAGGGTCCATCCGAATTTGATTTTATTCAAAGGAACCATCCATGAAAGATAAGACCTCATGTCCCGTGGTCACATCAACCATGAGTTTTGTAATCGACAGTGGAAAGTCATCTTTCAGACATGCTTGATTTAAATCTCTAAAATCAACACAAACTTGAATTTGTCCATTCTTTTTTTTGACAAGCACAATATTAGCAATCCATGTTGGATATTTGACTTCTCGAATGAATCCAGTGTCTATCAACTTATTGACTTTAGCTTGATCTATGGGACTAGTTCTGGACGGAATCTTCATTGTGGCTGCTTAATGGGGCGAACTCCGTGTTTAACAGCAAGATGATGAACTATAACTTTGGGATTAAGCCCTGACATTTCTTTGTATGACCATGCAAAAATATTTTTATACTCTCGTAATAGTTTAAAGTACTCACCTTGCTCTTGAGGTTTCAGAAGAGCATTGATGCAAATCTTCATCAATGAATGAAATCGTTGTCATGCAATCGAATTGACTAACTTGATCAGCAACAGTTAAGATCTTCTTTTTTAATTTTTTTGGGTTGACCAAAGCTTGTACCAACATTTGTCGGATTTCTTTGGGTAATTCAAGTGCCTCAGGAAGACTTAGGTTTGATGAAATTTCTCTGAACCTTTCAATCATTTCTTCTTCATTTGTCGATACTTCTTTCTGAGCATTTTTGGTATTTGAATCTTTATTTAGTAGAGTCTTAGTTATGCATTTTTCTTCACAAACACTTATCATAGAAGATGTAATTGATTCCCTTGTAAAGAATTGCTTGGAAAAATATTTCATCAATGTTGCAGGTGTGCGAGAACGTAACTTATAGTCTTCATCATCAATAGTTGTCAGCTGGGAAGACACTCTTCTTTTTCCTCCACGTCTTTGATTTTGGTGAAAATGAGGTCCCCTCTTTGTTTTGGGGTGTTTTGGCTTATTA